CTTGTTGACTATACAATGCCATCAACCATATGATTAGAAGTAGTGAACTCGAACTATTAACTAAAAGGCAAGTAGCTAAAATGCACCTAGTTGACTTGTATAAAAATAAACATGTAAAAGCAGCTAAAGCACAACAAGCCAAAGGTAAAGGTATATGTATATACATATTCATGATAACTAGGCGATGCATCTAAGTATTTCTGAAAAAATAATAGAGTCAGCTACCTTGCTCTCGTAGACCTGTCTGAAGTGGCTCTCCCACATAGGTTTATCGTGTTCTAGTTCTAAATCATAGTCTGTACTCTCGACTATCCTCAGATTACTAATATCAACCTTATCTTCTTCGTTGGTGCTATTGTCATCTTTATTTGATACATAATCCTCACCTCCGTCCTTGCTGCTATCACTTTCTTCTTTCACCGGCAGGGAATCCAGTACGGCTGGGAAATCTACAACCTGAATATCCCGTACAGCCAAAGGTAAAGGCATATGTTATATGTATATAAAGATAACTAGGTGATGCATCAAAAAAGCTTGTTTGGATAGTATTGTTTCATGGTTTAAATACAATATTGGTTTTAATTCTTACTTAATGATATAATATGATATGTTTTGAACCAATACGTGACAAACTATCCAAACAGTGTGTAATTATTTCAGAGAAAAAAGGAACAGAGTAAGCTACCTCGCTTTCATCGACCTGGTTATCATATTCTGGATCTGAATCATAACCTTCACCATCGTCGTCGGTGCAATTGCTAGATTCATTACATACATAATACTCACTTTCGTCGTCGGTGCTAACCGGCGGGCAATCCGAAACTCTCCTTGCTTTAACTAAAGAACTACTTTTCACTTTAAGTAGGACTCTAAGAGCTCTACCTTAGAATGAGTTAGATTTCCTGTGTTAACAAGAAGGAATGGCGGGACGCTAAAGAGATGGCTATGAGACTAGTGCAATCAGGTAATCGACCAAGTAATCCACATACATGATAAAAGAGCATTCCAGCCCTAGTGTACTTATCCACTGGCATTGAAGGAGAAGAATGACAAGGTCTGTGGATACACCCGTTCGCCACTTTGTTCTCAACTCTTCTCACCTCCTGGGCGAGACAAGCTACCTTTAGCTAGGAGCCTCTAGTCTTTCTTTCTAGGGTTTCTATTCTACTATAATGAATGAACAAATCTCTATGATGATGTATAGATCAGGTAATCCAATTTTGATGGCCAGGCTCCATTATTCTCGGCTGGGAAATCTAACCCCTGAAAATCCAGTACGGCCGGTCGTCGTGGGCGCAATAATGGGGGCAGTGGTGGCTGCAAACGTACAGATTTCATGGCTCCGGGATGAGTAAAACTCGGGGTGGTGGTGGGCATGAGTATGGTGTTGGTAGCTATTGAAAATTAATATGAAGAAACTAAAAAGAAGAGAGACTTACTATTTGTCTTTGAGGTATGGTTTTACAATGAATAAGATCTCTTACCTATTTATAGGGGAAATCAAAGTTGACCCCCCTAAATAGTATTCCTAATCATACTCGTAAAGGACTCCATATAATTGACATTTACTATAATACAAATATTTTATAATAATAGATAATATGAATAAAAGTAAAATCATTAATGAAATACAACTAAATAAATATTACATAATTGAAAAAAATATTTCAGATTCTACATAAATATTATACTTTCAAGATCACTACGGTGCTCCCATAAATGCTCTATTAATGCATTACGTAATTCAAATGAGCTTCTTTGTCCTTTTTTTTTTTTATATCGAGCTAGAAATTGTTGAAATTGATAATTTTTTGTGAATGTTAATTGTAGCTATATCCAATTATAATTTATAGAGTAATTAACATAAATTTAATTTTTTTAAAAGTCGTATAAAGAAAATTATTATAAAAACATGACAAAACTTCAGAATATAGCAAACATCAGCATACATTTAAGATATATAGCTACTGTTTACTTTTTATTTTATTTTATGGATACAATTAAATGTTAAATAGCAAAAATAATTATATACAAATAAAAATTAGTTTTTTTAATATGTATATAAATAAGTATTAAATGACAAAATTATCATCACACGCCTAATCAATTATAGTTAGGCACGTTTTACGGTGATGTTCCCATATTTACCGATCCTCATCACTTTTCATTACTCTCTCTCTCAAATATCACAAACTTATTTTTTCCTTTTTTTTCCAAGTCCTTGAAATTCACGATTCATTTTAGGAGTAATTTCTACGATTCTTCTTTATTAGGACTCTTGTAATTGCATTTTTTTTCCTTTTTATGACGATTATATTTGTATAAATCTATATTTTCCTTCTATTTTCATAGGGTTTTGTTTGAAAATTTTGTTTTCTACATTACAATGGCGGAAATTAGTATTGCGAGGAAAGTTATAAAATGTATACATTTATTTGACGAATTTTTGGATGAACTATCTTCTTTCAATTTGTGTATTACTCAAAAGCAAATCAAATTTTATGGCTGTATTATTGCAATGGAGAATGAAAGAAGAACAAAGAATCACAATGGCCCTATACCTCCAATTGTATTGATTTATTAATACAGTGAAAAACTTATACATTTGAATACTTGTATTGTATTATATTTCTTTGATTTTTTATTTTTTGGGTTGTCCATTTGTATTGAAATATTAACACAAGTTGAAAGGTTGATTAACAATACAAGTACAATTGGATACATAAATACATTAAGTTTGTATTTTTTTTAAAAATACTTGAAGCAACATTATTTGTCCACTATATCCATTTTTTGCTTAACAACAAGGGTATTTATATGTATACTATATAGTTGTATTGATAAGGTAAATCATATTTAAATTGTCTTGTTCATATGCTAAATTGCTATACTTTACTTTGTTTGATATATTGATACATTAAGTTTTATAAATACTTGTATCCATTTGAAAACAAAGTATTCATACGCTAACCGTTTGTATTGAAATATTAACACAAGTTGAAAGATTGATTAACTATATAAGTACATTTGGATACATAAATACATTAAGTTTGTATTTTTTTTTAAAATACTTGAAGCAACATTGTTTGTCCACTGTATCCAAATTTTGTTTAACAACAAGGGTATTTATATGTATACTATATAGTTGTATTGATAAGGTAAATCATATTTAAATTGTCTTGTTCATATGCTAAATTGCTATACTTTACTTTGTTTGATATATTGATACATTAAGTTTTATAAATACTTGTATCCATTTGAAAACAAAGTATTCATATGCTAATCGTACACATAATATATTAACCGTGGGTAGGAATTAGATTCTCTATGTTAAATCGTCTGACTGAAGCCCCACATATGTAGATATACATAAATAAATCATAACATAGATCATGATTTGAAGAGAAGCTTACACCGGTGCAGTTTAATAAATTTAGGAGTACATGGTTTGATGTATATACTTGTGTGCATGAGTGTCGCGTTCAAAATCAAACTTTTAGATGCTTACTGGTATGTGAATTGAAGGATAGTTCATCAATAAATACAAGAAAGTGATAAATCAATTTAACTAAACAAAATTAAGTGAATACCTTTATGCTTGACTAAGAACAATGGAGACAATTGAAGAAATGAATATGATGTATCTCAATCTTTTTGTTAAACGGATTGAAATCCAAGTGGATATGCATTGACTAGGTATTTATTAGTTATTAATTTAAAATTGAGAAGTTGAGAATTCTAGGGACCTAATTAAAGGGATTCATTTATAGTAAATACCTTATTTAGTGCACTCTAATTATAATTGTATCATTGTATAATTAATTTTTTTTACACAAATACAGCTAGATATACATATAAACTATAGTCATTTTTGGTAAATAGCATACTTATAGCTATTGCATTTCAATAACCCTATAAATGTAGTCATTTATGTAAGTTGCTCTAAAATCATTACATAAAAAATAATTAAATATACAAGAGATTTAATTAAAACATACAATTTATATAATATTTAATTAAAAGATTGTATAATGAAATAATATTAAAATATTCAAAAAGTGAATTGGCGTGATGAATACTGTTACACCAAAATTGGTGTAACACTATTCACACACCAAATTTGGTGTAAAAATTGGTGTGGGTTGGAGCTCAAAACACCAAATTTTACACCAAATTTAGAATTCGGCGTAAAATTTGGTGTTTGGTTGGAGATAGTCTTGATACGCATATAGGTTGCCTCATTAAAAACCTTACAAGGAAAATTCAGTAGGACAAAACCTCGTAAGGAAAAAAGAGTACAACGCGCATTAACTCCCCTTAATGAGAACATCAATCCAGAGACTTGAATCTTCGCATTCCAAGCTTGTGCACCATCTTCTTGAAAATTGCAGTCGGTAGAGACTTGGTGAATATGTCAGCCACATTGTTACTTGAACGAATCTGTTGCACATTTATATCACCATTCTTTTGGAGTTCATGTGTATAGAAAAGCTTTGGTGAAATATGTTCTGTTCTATCTCATTTTATGACTCCTTCCTTAAGTTGTGTTATGTATGATACATTATCTTCATATAAAATGGTGAGTACTTTATCACACTCTAAACCACATTTTTCTTGAATGAGATGTATCTGTAACATATCGCAATTTGAAATAACTAGGAAGAAGCTAGTAATTGGAAATAGTTATTTTTGGAAAAAATGAAAATCTGAAAATTTTGTTAAGTCTGAATAAGTTGAACTTTGGTCAAATCTCAGGATGAGTTAGGTATACTTCCAGATATGGTTGGGAAGCTCTTGGAAAAATCTTTCCAATGCCACTGAGTTTGCGCAATTCCGAGTTTGTATGAGTGAGTTATGTCATTTGGAAGTTGGGCTGTTTAAATAAGGAAAGTTCAATCCGGATTTTGGAAGGGTAATTTAGTCTTTTCCTTACCTAATTATTCAAAATCGTTATTAGGAGTTTAATTGGGGTAAAGTCAGATTTTAGTCAGTTTAAAAAAATGAATTCACGGTATGGCTTGGAGAAGAGGAGAAAGGAGGAGAACGTTCAAGATTCATCAAGTTCTTGTGATTTTGGTTGTGGAATTTGCAAAGGATTCAATCCTTACGAGGTATGTGAGTCTTTCATAGCATTGGGTTCGTTTACCCACGCGCCAAACATGTTTAGTTCAACGAATTCGTCCTAAAAGAGTTTGAAAGTTGATGTCCTGGACATGTATGCTTGAATTTGAATGTCGTTCTTGAATTGGACTGAATTGAGGAGTTTCTGAGATCGTTGCGTGAGTTTTAGAGTTGCTTTGAGTTTTTTTTTTTAGTAGAACGACCCTTGGGTGGGTCAGGGGCTTAGCAACCACCCCAGGCCATAGTTGCTTTGCGTTAGGTTATTGAGTATGTATGCTAGGTGTTGGAATCTAAAATGAATTTGAGAACAATAGTTGAGTTTAGGCGAATTGGGGCTGGAAAACGAAGAAGGAAAAGTCGGGTAGGTTTTGGCACGCGACTTGCTCCCCCAATGAACAAAAATTAGCTTCGCGGCGCGGTTAGGACGCAGACTCCTCTGTTTCAAAATTTAATTTCGCGAGCATTGTTGACACCCAATTTTAACCCTATGCAGTTCGAGTTAAATATCGAGCTTCTTCAATTTCAAACAATTCGAAATAATCATCTTTGAAAAATCCTAAAAATATATATATTTTAAAATCTCTTTCTAATTAGTTTCGGTTAGTATCTTTCAGAAATAATTATATAATTTTACATGTTGGTTTATATAATTTTCATCTTTTATATAAATATTTAATAAATAGCCTAAAAATAATGTTTAACATAATTACACATTTATTTCTTTGAATTAGTGAATTTTATAATTTTGTATAATTAGTTCTGTAGTTTAAAGCAATAATAAGTTTTGATAATTATTTTGTTTTGTTTAAATTAAGAAGCTCAAATAATTAATCGATAATTATTCATCTTATTTTAATCTTGTCTGATTTAGTTAATTGACTCAAATTGATTATACCTAACTCAAATTGGCTAAATTAGCAACTAAATTGGCCAACTTCTAAATAAAATGGGCTATCCTTTTAATTTATATACTCTCCCACGCTCTTTCTCTTTTCCCTTTTTCCAGCCCTCACATAAGCTCCTCTCCCCTTTCTTCATCCTCCAAAACACAAAAGTCAATATCAAGAACTCTAATTTCGTCATCCAACTACACCACCCATCACCATTGACAGTCCCTCCTTCCATATTCAAAGATTTCAGACCTCGAGCTTGATTTGTTGACTTTGGATTAGATAAAATCCCACCCAAATCTAATTCGAATCGGAAGATATCACATCGAATCCAGATTTTTGGGGGCATGTTCTTCTCTTACTCCTTTTCTCCTCCATTATTGTCAATCAATCTCTCATCTCCCGCTCAAACGACTATTTAAATTCAAGCCTTTATTTTTGCTATAAATACATGGTATTGATGCCATTTAGAGAGGACTCGGACGGAAAAAAAATAAAAGACCGAAAAAAGAATAGGGGAATTAGAATTTGAAAGTTGGAGAATAGTATTCCCCGAAATAGAAATCCACAAGGGTTTGAGCCTTGAATTTTCAATTTTCTTTCAATCTCTTTTACTGATCTGTTGGTGGGTCCAAGGTCGAATCACTCTCTGCTCGTCGTCTCAGTTCGCTGCCCCCAAAAAGGTAACATTAATTTTCAGATTTTAGTTTATGTTGTCATGAATTAATGGTTGCTTAGTTTCATGATTTGGGATCATGATCTTTCTGTTCAAATTGATGTGATGACTATTTGATTTCGTTCTCGTCTTAAATATGATTGTTTTCATTTAGTTACGAGATTTGGTTTCTTCATGTTAGCCCCTCTCTATTTCTAATGTTCATTTTGTTCTGTTTCCGGCTGGATTTCTTAAGTGTTGTTGTTCTACACCATGGTTTCTACTTCTTGTTTGAGTTTTCCATATTCATAGCATGTCTCAATATTTATGAATTTGTCAAAGAGTGTTCCTATCTATATTTAACTTTTCGGAATGTCAGAGTGATAGTTGCCATGAAAGTTTAAAAGTGCTAACCTCGGAGGAAAGACCGACGTCCGGTAGCGTTACTATTAGCTAGTATTTTATTTGGAGTATAAGTTTATGATCTTTATACTTGTAGCCACCTCAAGCTTGATTAATTTCTTGAAATCCATGTCCTGCACTTTTTTTGAAATTCTAAATGTTGATGTACGTTTCTTTTTTCCTAAACTGTGCAATATTTGTTTTTAAATAGTCACATGAATTTATGTGTAATCAAGGCATAATTGATAGCTCTCTGTTTCAACTTTAGTGCAGCCAATCTTTTGGCATTTTGCTATTAATAGAAAAAAGCAAGTTTAAATATTGTTTGAGATGAGTTTCTTCTTCCCTATTAACCAATTTCCTTTCCCTGACATCTTCTTTGGAGAATAGTATCATCTTGTTCAAGTCTTTATTTGATTAACATTGTTTCAATTGTGTTAATTTCCTGCCACTTATTTTCGAGGGTCTATCTACAGGAGTTTAAATATTATCTTACATACTTTATTAGTTGGTCTTAGTCTAGCATTAAGGGATCTGTTGGGTTTCATATTAGTACTATGGTTTTATATCAAGATTTGAGAAATCTATTATGATACATGGAATGAGTGATAATGACAATATTAATTGCTTTCAACTAATTTGATTTTGTGAGTTACAACAACTCACACGTTTTTCCTCATCTTTAGCCGCACTACACATATGCTAATCCTTATCCTTTGTTTTCATTGCATGAATTGTCATTCCGAGTCCATGGTGGACTTATCTACCTTGCATTCTCGAGTTGAGCCATAGAGGCTCGAATCTTATTTATCATTGAGTCAGCCAGGTCATCGGAATAGGCCTAGGGAGGGCTGGAAATTGATCACAAGTTTCGGGAAGTCCAAAAATGGACCGTATACACTGATATACAGGTTGAGTGCAATATTTACAGATAAAAAAAAATGGAAAATACGGGGCTGAGGAAAAATACAGATGTTCGGAAGCAAGAAAGACATCGAAAGGGCCGATATACATGCTGATATACACCAATATACAACATGTGTATACCAAAACGGAAATTGAGCTTAAGGCTAAAAAACAGCAAAGTTTAGGCCCAAGAGGCCCAAATCAGCAATAGTTTAGGCCCCAAAAAGGGGGCCCAAATTCATCTCTCCTTTACCTTTAAATTATTTTATTGTTTGTTTTTCTTATCATTAACTCTAACTTTAAAATTGTTAGTTAACTTAATTAAATTCCCCAAAAGATGAACTATATTCTTTATGTTAGTGTATTTAGTCAAAACTTTTATTTATTTTTCAATTAATTTATAATAAGTTTTCATGCTTTTAATTAATCAAATTGATTCAAATTATTATGTCTTAAAATGATTCAAATTATTATGTCTTAAAATGATTCAAATGAGTTCTAATTAATCTAATTTTGTTAAAATTCCAATCATTTGCAATTTAATTCAAATATTTCAATTAATGTCCTTTTTTCTTAAAAAATAAATAAATTAAAATTGTTCTTTATTTAACTATTTTTCTCAAAGTTAATTGAATATTGTAAATTATTATATTTTTTATGTTAAATCATTCTCCTAAAAAATAGTCAAAATGTTTTAGTCAAGTCGTAGGATAACCACATGTTAACGGCTACTTTAAGTGCTAATACCTTCTTAGAGAAGAAATAAGAACCTCCTACCCATTTTCTGTAAATTTTTAAAGGTTTATCTGTTAAGACCTTTTAAAATTAAGTTTTCTTAATTTCTTTTAAAAATTAAGTGGCAACTCTTTTCTAAGTATTTTTCTCAAATTGTTTTATACTTAGAACATTCAAAAAGTGATTTTTCTAAAGATAGTAAAATTACGGCATAACAAGCATTTATTTAAAAACATCTCCGTGTCGCGGACTTGTTCCAAGACAGTGATTTCAGAATTTTTTTTCTCATGTTTGGCCATCTAAAATCATTCTTAAACATCATGAGATCTTTCCTATATCATAATCCTTGAATCCATAATTCAATTCAAGGAGAGTTAAGAGTCAAGTTTAGAAGTTAAGAAGCAAGTCAAGAAAAGTTTATAAAGTTTTCAAAAGTCTTTCACAAACGTTTTTACTTTGTTTTAAGACTTAAGTTCCAAGTTAAGCAAAGAGTAAAGATTTGAAGTTCATTTCTTTAAAGAAGTATATGAGAACTAAGTATTTCCAAGAGTTTAAAATGTTTTCACATTTGAGCAAGAAAGGGAACAACGATTTCAAGAGAGCTTTTAAGCTTAGTTTTGAGTAATTATCTCAAATCAAAGAAAGAAGTTTGTTTTAAAAAACATATGAGCTAAGTATATTTTGGACGTAGTATTGAGCACCGATATGGGGATGTGAGTTCATATTAACTCAAGTCTCCATAAACTTTTGTTGATAGTCACGTGAACAACTCATATTTTTGTAGGATCTCTTAGTTTTTGACGATATCTGACATAAGGATGAAAAATGTTCACTTTTAAATACTTGAAGAATGTTTTCTGCTAAAAATGACACTTTAATGACGTAGTACTTTAAGTTTGGGTATAATTTAAGTATGTTTTTGGTCAAAAACTCGTAGACGGTTTATCAACTATTACTCAAGGCATCTCCAACCCTATACTCTATTTTACTTTCCAAATATAGAGTTCTCTATTTTCTCAGACAATCAACTCCAACCCAATTATCTATTTTACTCTCTAAAAAGAATTTTTCTCTCTCTCCTCAATATTATATTATTATTTCAATTTTTTTCTTATTTTCTTAGTTCATAATATAAATCCTTTATTTCTTTTTCCCAATAATTAATTTATATAATTTTCATGTGAATAAAATTTTATTTTTTCAAAATTTTTAATTAATATAACTTATATTTTATTCTAAATTTTTAAATAGCATAAATTGCAGAAAATATTATAATATACAAATTAATGGACAAATTCAAATAAAAGTGAAATAAAATTACATAAACACTCAATTTTTGAAATTATTACGTTGCTCCCATAAATGCTCTATTAATGCATTATGGAGTTCAAAATAAGCATTTTTGTCCTTAATTTTTTATGTCTAGCTAAAAGTTGTTCAAACCGGAGATTTTCATCTACCACCATTTCTGTCGTTAGAGTTGGAGTCTCTATAACATCTTGAATTGGTACATTAAGATTACGTTCATCCTCAACTATTATGTTGTGCAGCATAATACATGTAGTCATTATATCATGTAGCACTTTCTTTCTCCAAAAGCGTGTCGGTCTTGCAATAATGCAAAACGTGATTGCAAAACTTTGAATGTACATTCAACATCTTTTCAGCATGATTGTTGTTTCATCGCGAATTATTTATTATGTTATGTATTGTATTGTATTGTATTTTATCTTGTAATTAAATTATTATGTTATGTAATGTATTGTTATCTTGTATTTAAATTATCATATTATGTATTGTATTTTTAAATTAAATTTTTCATCTTATCATTTTAATTTTGTGTATTCTTTATAGTGAAAATTAATGATAAAATCAAATTATATTATTGACAAAAATTAGAAAAAAATAAAATACTATTAATTCGGGATGAAAGTAGTATATATTAAATAATATATTTTTAAAAATATTATATTACATTTAAAAAAAATATGAATATTAGATATTTAATTAATGACATTATATGTAAAATAATATATTAATTAGAAAGTAATAGAAATAATAATAAAATATTCAAAAAGTGAAATAGCGGGTGTGAATAGTAGTTCTCCAAACTATTCACCTCTCTAAATGTAAAGAGTAGAGAGTGATATGGAGATGGATTGGAGTGCTCATTCTCTATTTTAATCTCCAAATATAGAGAATGAAGAGCAAAATAGAGTTGAAAATTGGAGATGGTCTTGCATTAATTCTTTACTTGAAACAGAGTGGACGGTTGAAAGTCCAATAGTGCTTGACAATTCCTGTAGATAAAGACAATTTCATTTTGGGATTTGGAGCTGATGAATTTACCTGACTTTGAAGGAAACAGGTGTCCATGACTTTGTGATCTCTTTAACTTACAATTATCTTGAAACTTTTTTGTTTTATTAATATTTTTCTCCAAAATTTAAAACTGCTTACTTAGTAATGAATTTCAGAAAGTGGAATTCTTGAATTTGATGCTGAATTAAGAAGTCAGGAACCGATTATCATCACAGTAGAAGAGACTAGGAGAGATGAAGTGCAAAAATTAGAAGTGAGCAATATCAGTAACGCTTTCCTAGAGAATATTCCCAATGATGATGAATATGCAAAGAACAATTCAACAATTTTGCCTGCTGATGAGCAGATCCACTTTCCAGAACATTATGCAATAGAAAATGTTTCGAGCACTGAGGGGTTTAAAAATCGCGCTTTCTATGTGTTTAATCAGGTTTATTTGGATGTGGTTGAACATGTTAATTTCCTTGTCAATAGTAACGGACAATTGATACCTTCTGAAGTTAATGGAGCGTTGAAGATGAGAGCTTATTTGAGGTACTTGGTGTTGGGAAAAATACTACAATATTGATATTGGATTGGAATCATAAAAGAGTAAATAACTTATCACAAACACTGTGTCGTGGTAAGTCACTGCCTTGAAAGCGATTTCGGCTCGACTCCGGTGCAAATTGTTGTAGCCGGTCGCTCCCCAAGGTTCTACAGTCACTTTCAAACACGTGCACTCGTGGCTGAAAGTTTGGAGTTGCACAAAAACAATTTCCTAAAAATCCACAATAGGAAGAATGATTGTTTAAGTCAATAAAGAAATTATTGAAGGAGATAGTAAGTGAAAGTAAGGACTTGGTTTTCTTCTCTGTGTTTAGCTCCCAAATGATACTCCTTAAATAGAAAAATCATTTACGTTTCATCCATCAAAAAAATGTAAGAAAATAACGTATAATCAATGTAATGAAACATTACTCTTACTTTAATGACAAATTTGTCATAATACAGAAGTAACTTCAAGTTTTCTGAATATTTTCTTACGAAGTTAAGAAACTGACATTTGAGATAAATGTGAACCATTAATGAGAAAGTAACTCTCCTATTTCACATATACTACCGACTTAGCAATGTTCACATAGATTAATTACGGAGAGTTAAAAGATGTAACTTATCCTTTGCATTAAAAGAAAAGTAATATTATCCACACTTTTGTTGTCAAATGATGTAATTTAAACAGATACATAAGTAGGTCTGTTCTGTTTCGATGAACGATAGATAAGAGCTTTCCTATAGTTGATCTAATTTCATTTCTGCATTTCCTCGTTGATCATCGTAAGGGGCTCTTCTCATTGCAACAATCTGTTTTGCTGTGCTGGAACATGTTTTTGTCTCTTGTAGTGGCATGCCTGAGTGCAAGCTCGGGCTTAACGACAAAGTACTATTGGAGGCTCAAGGTCGACCTACCAAAGGCAAATCCATTGATTTGGATGATATCAATATGTTGAAAGCTAGTCTGTTAATCAAGTGACTGCTTCCTCAATGTGCTGTAAAATTCAGTAAATGAATCGCGTATACCATCCTTGACCCGAGCTTACTGTACTTTCAGATAATAAACTTCTTCTGTCTAGACCATTTAACGCGTATATTCAGGTGTGTGTGTCTGGCTAGGTTTGAAAATGATCGCACAATATCTTTTATACCTCCTGATGGATCATTTGATCTGATGACTTATAGACTCAGTACTCAGGTCAATTTCATTATCTCTGTTACTATATTCTCATTGTAATGTAAAGTGTGCCTATCTTATTCTTCTTCTTCTTCGTTAATTGAGGGGGACTAAGTTTATAACTTTACTAGTAATGGATTCAGGTGAAGCCACTGATTTGGGTGGAAGCTCAAGTTGAAAGGCATTCAAGAAGCCGCGTTGAGATGCCTGTCAAGGCCAGAAGCCAATTTAAAGAGCGAAGGTAGTATTCTTATCTTCTGTGATCAGATATCAGACTAGTTGTAAGTTTGCTCAAGGAAATATTTCAACTGAACTGGCAGATATATATGGCAGCACTGCTACGAATGTTGAAATTGAGTTTCCTGTACCATCTGATGCAATGAGTCCCATCATACGAACATCGATGGGATATGCTACATATGCTCCTGAGCGAGATGCAGTGGTATGGAAAATCAAGTCATTTCCGGGTAACACGGTAGGGATTCAGCAAAATGATATGTGTGTAATGTATCCATTTGATTGTCTACTGGTTTTATCAGTCACATTTTAACTAATGTACAGGATTACATGCTGAGGGCAGAGTTTAGACTTTCAAGTGTAATATCCGAAGATACACCTCCTGATAGAAAAGCTTCAATCCGCGTTAAGTTTGAGATACCATATTTTACAGTCTCAGGAATTCAGGTAATTTTATCTTAACCTTGTGGAGAAAAAGTTCCATTGCACTTACGGTATCAACTACTCTATGTTAACGTTTTGAGTTTGAGCAGGTTCGTTATCTCAAAATCATTGAAAAAAGCGGATATCAAGCTCTTCCATGGGTGAGGTACAAAACAATGGCTGGTGAATATGAACTAAGGCTTATATGAGCAGGACTATCTTTGTGGCACTGCACTATGTGTACTGTGAAATCTACGCTATTTTTGGTAATTTCCACTTTTGTGTTTCTTCGTATACTTTCTTCTTGGAAAAAGTAAATATATACCTCCAACAATCCACATTGAGCAATGCAGCTATGTAGTTTTAGTGATGTCTGCTCTTAAGGTCTCTTTCATTCTTCTTTCTCCTCAAAATGATTTAAGATGTAGCAAGAACAGCACACGAATCTTATCTCGATAATGAGGATGTATTTGCATAGAGTCAATAAGTTCACAAAAACAAATATATACATTTTTGTGTACATCCTTCTGCACCATTTAGTCTTACAGAATATCTATGCCTACAAAAAAAAGACTAAACTCTATTCATGTGGAGAGTTCATAGAACTGAGCAGAGACAACCTTTTAATAAATTCATCATACTCTTCCTTATGGCTTATCAAACTGATCCTCATGTATTTTTCGCTTGAACCAAAATGTGTTCCGCTCCTGGTCAAAATCTTGTGCTTCTTCAGGATTTCACAGTCGTCTATGGACTTCTCGCATTTTAGCCATGCAAAAGCTGAAAAGAGGGGAAGAAAAGTTGATTGGCTTAAACCAAAAGAACTGTCGAAAAAACAGATATAGCTCAATCAGTAAACTAAAATTACCAGGTTGTGTTCCAAATCTCTGACCACTAAAGTTGCATTTTTCAACAGGAAAGTCAAGTAAACTAAAAGTTTGGCCTTTGCTGACCGCTGATCTTAATTGTCTCCATCGCTTTGCCATTTTTCATTGTAGACATAATGGAAGATAGTGAGTAGTCACAAGAACCACCTCTCTTTACATTCAGAATTCCCTCAATTACATGGTCGGTGCCCTAGAATGAGTACAAGTGAACTTTCTTAGCATTCTGAACAAAACAAACAAAGGAAAAGGGAAAAGGTGTGATGAGAGCAAACTTATTTAATGAAAGAAAGATAGCATATGTGACTAGAACATACCCACATTAGCATATCTAACAAAAGGATGAAAAATGTTCACTTTTAAATACTTGAAGAATGTTTTCGGCTAAAAATAATACTTTAAGGATGTAGTTTAAGTTGGGGGTATAATTTAAGGATATTTTTGGCCAAAAACTCGTGAACGGTTTATCAACTATTACTTACATTCTTTGCTTGAAACAGAGTGGACAGTTTATCTACCTGAAAGTCCAACAGTGCTTGACAATTTCTAGTCTTGTCTATATTTGTTCTTTATTATCATATGGGTGTTCTACTTTGCTACTTCCTTCAACATTAATTTTTCTCTTGTTCTTTATTACTATGCTATTGATAGTTTAATTTCTGTTGTTGTACAGTATTTTGTTAGTGTCAATTCTTTCTTTTTGGGGTGGGGCTATGGAAGTTATTATCGTTAACTAGAAATTCTCAATGTTGTCATTAACTATGACTAAAAGGATTTCATTTTTGTGTTCAGTGCCGGATGTAGTGTCTACATTTATCTCATGTATCTTTTGTTTGAAGAATATTCTGGATATCTTTGTGGAATTGTTTGCATCTATATTGCTCGGATTCTTAAAAATGTAAACGGGTGTGTGTCGGATTCGCCAAAAATAGTGTATTTTTGCGGGTCCGGCATCAAAAGTGAAGAATCCACGAAACTATGGTTTGCAATATATGTTTTTGAATGGTTGGAAATTAATTCTCCTGCACTATCCCTTTTCTGAATCTGCTCAACACCTTCTTCAACTTCCTTTTACAGTTAAAATATGGTGCAAAAAAGACCATACGGTGAAGAAAAGCTGTATGAGGTTTCATCTAAGCAGCCGAGACATGTAGAACCAATAGTAGTCAGCTAGTTTCCTTTCTGCAGTGGCTCCTAACTCTTACACTTCAGGTTAGGAAGAGATTATTCTATCAAATTCCTGAAATGCTAGCTTTACGTTGTTTTAACGGCTTTGTGAATAATGCTTTTATTTACACAAACTTTAGATACTCTTGGAGGTTGCTCTTTTAGCAGCACGGTTGGTAGGTGGAGATGAGGAGAAATTTTCAGAAGTCAAAGCTTTCAGTGAAAAGAGACCTGATAGTTGTGATGTGGCTGCCGTTCCTTTTTCCTCTGAGAAAGCAATTGAGACGATCGAGCATTCATGGCTCTGCGCTTCAAACTCTTCTTGGACCTCTAGTAGCACCAGCGTAGAAGACATCAGGTCCGAGGTGCCTTTGACTGCTTCTAAATATTACATTAATTCAGAGTTGTTATTCCCCTCTTTTGAACAATCCTCCTCGGAAATCAGTTCTCATTGGACCAGAATGTGGTGCATATGATAGTAAAAATATATATCCATATATGAAGGAGAGCACTCAAGAAATTAGCCCAAATCTTCCATCTCAAGCTCTAGAATCAGGTTTTGTGGATCATCACGATGAAGAAAATAAATTTGCTGGGACATGTATCATTCCAATGCCTAAATTGGAATTACCTGCAGAGCAGACCACGAGGAGAATGTTGGAGCAGGAAAAATTGGGTGCTCCTGTGAGAAGTGAGAGTCCATTTTTACTTGTATATTATTAGTGATGAAAGGAAAGAGCATGTCAGAAATGAAATTTGAGTTTTTCGACCTTGCTCTTGGTTGTTAGTAGGAAAGCTGTTTTGAGGATTCATTTATATGTAAAGTTAATTTTATGGCCGAGTTGAGCCATATTTCTGAAAATTAATGGAAAAAGAAATCTTTTAAATTGTGTTATGTGCCAAATGTCATTGTTCTTTTGTATAACCATGGACAATCACCTCTCTTTCTCAAATACACATATAAATCTGAACCAATTATTAACTTGGTTCACATTCAGTTCAGGGAAACAAAATTTGTGACTACGTTGACCACAAATTCTACTCCAAAATTTCGTGTTTGTATTGGAGTTCGATTCAATTCGAATTCACACAGCAAGTCATCTCGTGAAGTCTGAGTGAATGAAGAGGAATAATGATCCAATATAGATAAAAACAGAGAGTTAAGAAGCTACCCAATAACTAGGAAGATTACCAATATTTTGGTATTACAACTGTATACCTTTTATTTATGAGATTAACTTGTGTGCACTGACTGTGTAAAGTTTTTTTACACAATCAGGTAAGTTTAACGGTACTAGTCAAACCCAGTTAAACCTCTAATCTATTAATTTTTAATATTTATTAATTTTTTTCTCTCTCTCATTCCATAACGGTCGGAATATTTTTTTCTCTGTCTCAGAGTCCATAATCGTCGGACTTGGGATTCTTTTCTCCGAACTTCTATCTCCCCTAAGCTGCTAAGATCCTCATCTAAGGTTTCATGATCTCTTTTATTCATGTGAAATTATCGATAAAAGGTTATTATCTTTGATTTTTTGGGGAATTATTTGTAGCATATGTTTGTAATCTGAATCTATTATAGATTCTTATGATGTTTCAACCTGATGTCGTTCTCTCGGATGATGCTGACATTGTGAAGCAAGGCTGTGGGAAATCCTTTGTACCATTTACCAAAGGTATCAATGAACTTCTTGCTCCTGGAACCTAATAAGTGTAGGTGGGGTTTATTTTTATTTTTTGATTAGTAATCTTTTGCACCATTTCCCTATGTATTATGTTAAATGTTTCGTTTCTTTTTTAAGATTCTTGATGTCCATTGATTTACTTTTAAATCTTTTACAGAATTTCTAATGTCGTATTTGTTGGGAAAACACGGACAAGCACAAAAATATATATGGTAAAAGTAATGGAAATAAAATGGGAAATAATGACACCAAGAGTTTTACGTGGAAACCCTTCTAAATAAGGGAAAAATCACGGGCCAAGAGGAGCAACTGATATTACTATAGTAAGGAATTTTACACTGTAGTCACGAGTACAATACTCAAAATGACTACTACACACTCAAAAGGAATAACACTCTTTTGATTTCCACCTTACTAAAATATCGCTCACACTCTATTTTTCTTCACAGACTATTTTCTTATATAGTCTATGGAAACCTCACAGCTCTCTAAATATTTTACTCTCTGTGAATTGGTGTGTTACAAATGAGCTCATAAGCTCCTTTTATAGAAGAAATTTGTAACAAATTTCAACCCCCACCGAAATGTTTCTCAACATTTGCTGCCAACCATTGACAATTGCATGCAGCAATTGTTGAAAAGCAATATTTGTCAATGGTGCAGTAAATGTTGAAAAACACAATAATTGAATAATGGGGCTGAACCCCACAAATCTCCCCCTAAAAAACACAATAATTGAATAATGGGGCTGAACCCCACAGTATTGTCCTGGTTGCTACTTCAGGGTGCTTTTTCACATCTTTTGGTGGCTTGAGGAGTTATGAGACAAAACATGAAATTGCCAGACACCTAATTTTTGCACTGCAAATGTGATATGGAGTCGTATCTTTTGAATGTGTTGCGTAATTATGGGTTAAAGATGCAGTTCGAGCTCTTCAAAAATATTGACGTAAAAATGCATTATTATTGGATTATCGACACACACCCGTAGCTATTCTTAAAAAGTCTGAGCAACTGATCTTGTGCATTGAAGTAAAGTACAATTTCTTCTACTGATCATTATTGCCACCAGGAGGATAGTGAGAGGTTCAGTTGTGCAACAGAACTGTTACATATGTTCATGATGCCATATTGGAGGACTTGGTTGTTCCAGTAGAGATTGTTGGAAACTCAGTATCACGAACGAAACAACACCAAGTATAAGTTGGAGACCTTTTCAACAATTAACAGAAAACTTTCAGGCAAAGATGTTGTGTTTGAGTACCCCATCACTGAGGTTTAAGGAAATGTAATGCATGACCTCATCTATTTGACTTGTAACTACACATTAGCGGTTCCTCTGTAATTTTGGCAGTACCAATTTTTTTAGAATGCAGAGAACCATGTGAAATTATTATCAATTTTAAGTTAAAACCATGTTGCTATGTCATAGATTTTGTGGTTTTTTTTTTGAAACTTGGTTTCATTGATCAAAATAAAAAACAAGAAAATCAGTGAACTTTA